AAAAATTCAGAAAATTCATCTTTATGGAACGGAAAGAGTATTAAAGATTATGTTAAATGAGACCAAAGATATGATTCTCATTGTATTAAATATACTGTTACAATAAATGAAAAAAAACGATTATCTTTGTATTCAAGATTCTATTATTAAATGAAAATGAGAAACTGGAATTTATACAATTAAAAAAAATGTTATACAATAAAAATATTAAAATGACCAAAGATATATCTTTGGTAGTTAAACAAACAATTTTGCAAATTTTAGGTCTGCGCCAATATAAGATTTTGACATTAATAATTCCGAAAATTTGGTGGTAAATATTGATTTCATAATTTTAGTATCCAAATATTGTTGTAATTTTTGCACCACAATTTGATTCCACAAGTTTTATATCAAATCGTGAGTCTAAAAAAAATTAACAATTTATCGGCAAATATATTGATTTTAATGTTCTTAGTACCAATTAATGACTGATTTTATTTGTAGAATAAGTATAGATCCAAGTACCAATCATGGTACATCATGTTTAGTTATCTTCATGAGGTCATGGTTGCTTGTGGTGTACCTTATGTAGTTTTTGAGGGGTTGTCATGGAACAAGCGACCATTTTCATCGCTTTTTCACCATTTTCATCGCTTCTTTAGCTTTCATCGACTGTATTTGACATTTTACAGTGTTGCCATGATTCTTAATTGTGTTTTTGCTTCGCCCATGAAGTCTTTTGGGAATTTCCTATTCCCAAAAATGTATGTAAATCTCATAATTCAATATGTCTAATTTGCTGATCGCCTTACACCTTGACTTGAATCTGTTGAGTATGATGTACTGAGCAAAACTATAAGTAAATGACGCTAGAGGGTCTTATAGCAGAATCGGTATTTCTTCTATGCATGTTTATATGAGATTTTTTGTAATACTAAGCAAAAATGAGAAATGGGGGTATATTTAGTCTCAACACCTTTATGCTACCAATTATTAGAATAAGCCCCAACTTTTGCAATGTTAAATCAATGCCTCTACACTCTACACAATTAATCTTTGATCTCTGCAATATAATTCAGAGTATCCAAGACTTGTTGCATCGATGGTCGTTTCTTCATGTGCAACTTGGTGCATCTTCTAATGAGTGTGCCCATCTGTGTCACTGCATTCACAGGATAATTGTTCCCAAGTCGTAGATCGACTATTTCTCCAATCGTATCATCGGACAATAAAGAAGATATCCAATCATGTGAGCTTGTTGAGCTTTTCGAATTTCTAATTGTATCTTTCGAACCAGTTAAAAGCTCAAGCAAGATCACACCAAATGTGTAAACATCGGACTCCATTTTCTCGCAACCTATATACATAACACAGTTATTGTGTTAATACTCAAAAATGAAAGATTAGTTACTTCATTTGCTCGCAACGTACGTACATAAGACAATTATTGTGTTAATACTCGAAATTGAAAGATTAGTTAGAATCTGTAAAACCAAAGTTGGTATACCTTCAGGTTCAGGAGGTGTGTATATAATATCTCCCATACACCGAGTTTCCCCTTCCATATTGTATGTGTGATTCAAGATATAACAGTTTTGCATTGTATTGCTGATGAAAACCAAAACTTATGTATTAA